AAATGACTTCAGAAAAAATTTTCACCCATTCCAGACATCTTGTTGCATGCTAGTCCTTTAGTGTGCCCAGTTCCTATCTGAAAGTAAGTATACAAAAAAGAAGCAATCTGGAGTGCTGAGGGAGGGGGCTGAGGAGATAGCTCAGTAAAATAAGCACTTGCCTGGCAAGTGCAAGGATCCCCGGTATAAAAAAAAAAAAGAAAGAAAGAAAGAAAGAAAGAAAGAAAGAAAGAAAGAAAAGAAAAAGAAAAAATAATCAAAATGGAGTGCTCAGGGAGCATATTGTTGAAAGCAAATTAGATTCCTCCTTACTTTGTCTTTTCTTTTCGTAGTTCCAGCAGTTTATTCACACAGTTTACATAATACCATGGGTATTCTCATTCCATGGCATTTAAAAACAAGGTCATTTGGGAAAATGGGTTTGTAAGTTAAGTTTTTAATCTTATGATGCTGGTACTAGAGAAGAAATCATGACTCTTCAAAATACCCATCGAGCTGCCGTCAGCAAGAGGATGCTCAGTGACTTCGAGGAAAGCACCCGGGCACGGGCTGCCGCCGCTTCCTCGTGCAGGCGCTGGAAGAAGGAGGAGGAGGAGGAGGATCGGGAGGGAGGAGCGCACAGGCGGGAGACGAGGCCGCACGGTGCAGGTCTCAGCGCTAGACGTGTTGCTGTTACACACACAAAGCACAACAGCGAGCCAGGGCAGGGCAGGGAGACAAAACCAGTCTGGAGGGACCGACGCCAGAGGTAGTCAGAAGAAATATTCGTGGCCTTCTCCTAGAAAAAGAAAAAGTGCAATAAAAGTCAAGGAAATTCCTTCAAAATTATGTAATAAAACCAATTGTTCGTTCTGGGAAATTTTAATTGAGAATTCGTTGTCACTTAAGACTGAAAAACTGAGGGTCAGACACTTCCCTCTTTATTGTTGTAGAATGGGGTGAACAAGCCTGAGGGCGTTCCAGGAGCTCATTAGGTTCCTTCCAGTATCAGAAAAGAAAATCTGGTTTCTGTTTGGCTTTAAATGCGCTCAGCTTTTTATTGGCCTGTGGGTGGTTTGGCCTGCTCATTGGCATGGAAAGGTTGATGCATGTTCGTGCGCAGCGTGTGCCTCTACCAACCTTGGGTGCCGTCTGCGCTTCTCTTTCTTGGGCTAATTTATATGATACGATGAGCATATATTATTTTATTCCATCTTGCTGCACATTCTAAAGTTAGCATTTCTGGGCCGGCCAGATAGCGGGACTAACGTACCAGTTTAGAGCTCAGCGGCAGGTCGG